AAGACCATAAGGGGGTCCCGCCTGGGTCCCTGGAATCCCCGGACCTCACCTGCTGCTCCTGTAGAGGGCGGCCAGCTGCGGCTTTTTAAAATTCTAATTATCAATTTATTATTTTTCTTGAATATTAATTCCTGATTATCAATTTAATGTTCTGTCTTCCTTTTTTATATATTTTTTCTTCTTTATTTAATTTTTAAGACAGGGTCTCATTATATAGCCCCAGCTGGCCTTGAACTCTGTGATCCTCCTGCCTCAGCCTCCCTAGTGCAGGGATTATAGGACTGTGCCACCATGCCCGGCATAGGACTTCTTTCCCCCCTCTTGGAGGAGAAAAAAAGTTTTATTACCAACTTTAAATTTTAAAAAGTACAGTAACTATAACTTTCAGGACCAGTGCAGCCTTGGATTCAAGGAAGTCTAGTTTCTGAACAGAGATGCTCGGTATCACATTACACAAGGTCTTGGGTACTTGGAAACCTTGGGGCCCTCGGATGTCCAAGGAAGGTCTAGTCTGTGTTTGTGGGTGCACATGCAGAACGTACCCTAATTATTTTCTCAGACCCTTGCCCTCCTCCTCCTCCCATTCCTTGGTCTGGTTGCCTTTCCTGTTACAAAAGCTCTGTCTCCCTGTGTCTCGCTGTCTGTCTTTTACTTTGTTCCTTACTCACAGTTGGAGTGGGATGTTTAAACCGCGTCTGATTTATTTCCCTGGACATTTTTTGGTGTTTTATGAGGCAGGGTTTCACTATATGGCTCTGGCTGACCTTGAACTTATTTTGTAGCCTAGGCTGGCCTCAAATTTGTGGTGATCCTCCTGCCTCAGCCTCCTGGGTGCTGGGATTACAGGCGTGCACCACCATGTCCAGCTTTTCGCTGGATTTTATGGTCTCGAGGTTCATGGGTTTTTCTATAAAGGACTCGTTTTATCTTTACTGTGGAGTAGTACTCCGGTGTGTGAACACACACTTTCTCTATCCGTTCATCTGTGGGTGGACATATCAGCCACTTCCAGACTAGCGATTGTGAATTGTGCTCCTGTGAACACAGGGGTGCAGGGGCTGCTGTGATACAATGTGTTTCTCTCTTGCAAGAAAATCCCCAGAAGGGAGCAGCTGGGTGGGGTGGAATTTCTGGTTGTAGTGCTTTGAGGGATCTCCCTCCTGATTTCCACAGTGGTTGTACCAGTGGTTGTACCCATCAATGTGGAAGGGCTGCTTTGCCTCCAGAGCCTCGCCAGCAGTATTATTGGATTTCCTGATGAAGGCCATTCCTTCCTGGATAAAATGGAATCTCAGGTTTGTTTTCATTTGCATTTCTCTAATGGTCAGAGATGTCGAACGTTTTTTTCTGAATTTATTGGCCACTTGCATTTCTTCTGAGAAGTGTCCATTCATTGCATTCATCCATTTTTTTTTAAAATTGGGTTTTAGAGCTGGGAATGGTGGCACATGCCTCTAATCTCAGCACTCAGGAGGCTGAGACAGGAGAAATGCCACGAGTTCAAAGCCATCCTGGACTACATACTGAGACTGTCTCAAAAAATAAGTGAAACTTTGGGTCTCTTGTGTTAGAGGATCTAACTTGTTTTCTGAGTTCTTTGTATAGTCTGGATAGTAGTCCTTTGTCCGAGAAACAGACGCTGAACTTCTTTTTCTTTCTGTAGTTGTCTCACCACTCCGGCGTTTCCTTTGCAGTGCAGCAGCTTTCTAATTTGAAATGATTCCATTTAGTCCTTGGTACAGTTTCAAGTGCAATTGGGACTCTGTTCAGAACGTCCTTGCCTACGTCTGTGTCTTCAAAAATTTTACCTATTTTATCTTGAAACAGATTAGGCATTTCTGCTTAACATACAGATCTTCATTTTGACTTTAGTTTAGTACACAGCGACAGACAGGGATTTAGATCTAATCTGCCCTGTGGATGGCCTGTCTCCCTAGCACCATTAGATCATGGGCTGTCTTTCCCCTAGTGACCCCTGGTTTTTGACCAAAAAAGCACCACTATCCCCAGGCAAAGAACTTCTGTACTTTAGGGCTCACTGGTTAATTAATCACCCTTGCCAGTGGCAGGACTCAAAAACCAAGTTCACTAGCAATCATCTCTATGAACAGTGTACAGCTGGGTGTGGGGTGCACACCTGCCATCCCAGCCTCAGGAGGCTGAGGCAAGAGGATCACCGTGTGTCCAAGGCCAACCTGGGCTCCATGGTGAGACCTTGTCTCAAAAAATAGAACCAAAACAAACCAAAAAGAAAAAATGTGCTACCGTATCATTTCACAGAAGAGTAGAAAAATCTCTCTCCTGGCCTAGGGGTGTAGCTCGCTGGGAAGTGTTTGTTTTGAATATACGCAGCTCTCAATTTGATCCCCAGAAGCAAAACAGGAAAAATCTCTTTTGATCTCTGCCTACCTCGGGCTGCAGCAGCAGGGTAGGGATAGGGTGGGGTCAGCTGGAAACTCTGGGAATGGGCTACTCAGTCACTGAGGCTCCTGAGTGACCCCTGAGCCCCACCAACAACAGCAGCCGCTTCAGAGGCGCGGCGGGAATTGAAGGAGTCCTCATCCCTGCACACAAGGGAAGACAAAGACTTGCTCTTAACGCCAGCACAGGGCGACTCAAACACACCTGTGTATGTCAAGAGAGAATTCCCAGCTAGCCAGGCTTGGTAGCATATACCTGTAATCCTAGCACTCAGGAGGCTGAGGCCGGAGGATCGCCACCAGCTTGAGGCCAGCCCAGGATACACAGTGAGTTCAAGGCCAGCCTGAACTACCTACCCAGACTCTGTTTCACAAACCCAAAACAAAGAAACGAAAAAGCTTTCCCTTGCTGGTTCTGTCAGGACCATACCTGTGAGTTTACCGGGCATGACTTGGTACACAGGTGCCCCTCTCGCTCTCTTTCCCTTAGCCCTGGAGGGGAACTTTCCCTTTGTCACACCAGAGAAACAATGCAGTATTCACACACCTGTGTCTGATTCAAGCTCCCCCAAGCAAATGGCCTCCAGGAGTGTCCATTTTCCTAGCTGTCTCCAGCTTATCCTTCTTTATGGCACAGTACTACTCCACTGGATAAAAACCCCACACCATCTCTATCCACTCACCAATGGACTGGCACTTGGGTTGTTTCCAAGATCTGCTTTGTTGTTTCTAGACAGGGTCTCACTACGTTTTCCAGGTTGGACTTCAGCTCACCGTGAATCCAAGTTGGCCTCAAACCTTAGCTTCCTGAGTGCTGGGATCGCAGGTGAGCCCCACATGGCTGGGTGAACCCAGGCAAGTGCTGGGTACCACTGAGCTATTTCTCTATTTTTTCTCTATTTCCTGGTACTGAGGATTGGACCCAGGGCCTCTGCACTGAGCTACACCCCCAGCCAGTTTTTATTTATTCTGAAATAGGATCTCATTGTCACTGAGCTGGGCTGGGATTTGCAATCTTCCTGCCTCAGCATCCCAAGTAGTTTGGACTCCGTCCTGCTTGTTGGTGATTCCTTTGTTGTGCAGGGAACCGGCAGGGAGCAGGAGAGACAGCATCGGTGGGACCCTGCTTTCGGACATCTTCATTGGTTTTCAGAGTGACTACCTGCAAGATCGGTCCTCCTAATCAGCTTTCTCCACCTGTCCATTCATCTGGCCCACACCAGGGTCAGTCATTCATCTGCCAATCTTCTGAACCTTAGAGCCCACCCCTCCATCCCAGCAGTCAGCCTCCAGCCCTGGCTGCTTCCTTTCCTTCTCCTAGGCCTGCTCTTCCCTGTGATCCTGGCACTCTCAAGGCTGCGGCAGGAGGAACTCCAGAAGTTCAAGGCCAGCCAGCACTACATAGTGAGACCCTGTCTCAAAAAAACCAAAAAGAAAAAACCAAATGTCTTTCTCACTACTGTTTTTTTGTTTGTTTTTGTTTTTTATTTAAGACAGGGTCTAAATCTGTAGTTCAAGCCAAACTTGAACTCACTATGGAGCCCAGCCTGGCCTCATCACAGGGTTCTCCTGCCTCAGCCTCCAAAGGGCTGGGGTATCCTGTTTATAATAAATTTACAAAGGACTTTCATTTTCTTTTGCCCTGAGCCCTGGTCCTGCCTGGAGCAACAGAGGAGGGTCAGGCAGGCTTAGTTCTGCCCTCTTCTCTCCCTTGAGGGGAAGGCAGTGCCCCTGCAAGCGCCTGTCCTCTCAGGCTGGGTCCCTCCACAGCCATTGACTACATTGTCTTAAAAGTGCATAGTCATTGGGACTGAGTAGGACACACAGCATCTGACAGAGCCCCTCATCAGGAGCTGAACTGGGTCCTTGTGTACATTTGTTGGGAAATAAAGCCTGAGTCGGGAGGCGATGGCTTTCACAATATCCCTGTGCTTGCTCAGTGCCCTTTGGAGGCCAAAGACTAGGAATCTCCTCCAGGCAGAAAAATCTACTTCAGCCTGAACCCTGTGGGATTCGATGGTGTACGCCTGGAATCCCAGTGCTCAGAAGGCTGAGGCAGGATTCGCCATGAACCACACAGTGAGACTCTGTCTTTAAAAACAAAAACAAAAACTTGAACTCTGCCTGGTACTTCACCCCAGGAAGCAGGAGTCATTTGGCCACTCCAAGTCAGAGGATGAAGGAAGCCGGAGAGGCTGCCCGGGAGACCAGGGCCATGGATTGCAGCCGGACACCAAGGCCAGACGAGTCCCCAGGGCTTCATCTCTCAGGCTCCTACACCTCTGGGTGCCCAGAAGAAGGAGCCCTGAGGTGCAGAGCAGTCCTACTGCAGACAGCTAAGTCAGGCAGAAACAGCGCAGGCCGTCGCACAAAGCAGGGACCCAGGAGTCCGTGCAGAGCATGTGGGTGCGTCACAGCTGTGGCCGGAGACGCATCTGAAGACTGCAGTCACAATGGCCAGATTACACACTGCCCAAGGGGGGACTGGAAGCTGGAGACGAGGACTGCCCTTGTGAGATTTTCCCTAGAAATAACCACTGTCATAGAGCGTGGCCATCTTCTCACAGCGAGACCAAAAGCAGGACTCCAGGTTGCCCACCGAGGGTGATGACGTCAGCCACAGGCCCGCGTCACTATTGGCTCAATGTGACGTAAGCGACGCTCCTTGCCATCTTATTGGTTGATGATAGCTGTGGCCCGGGTTGTACCTGCCCCTTCCGACTTTGCTCTGTAACACTTCCTCAGAGAAGTGGGCGCGTGGGCGCGTGGGGCGCCCCTTGGGGACCCCTCCTGTCCCTCAGGAGCTGCTCCCATTCTCCGTTCCCGTCTTAACCTTGTCGTTCGTTAGATCGCAGGGCCATGTCTGCCACCATCGGGCTGACCGACCCCTGCCTGCTGCCCACTGCACGCGGCGGGACGCAGGGCTGCCACGCGCGACACTGAGTGATGGCCAGAAGAGATGCGGGACGGACCCACAGTCCCCCGGCGTCAGGACACGCCCATCGGTGTCCACCCTGGGAACGCTGACCCCGCGCAGCCCATCCAGACTCCCTGAGCCGATGGGCCCGGCCCCAGACCAGCAGGCCCGGCCCTTCCGCCAGGCCACCCACCGGCTGCCCTCGCAGGCCTGTGAAAGCGGCCTCTCCCACATCCCGGTGTCACCCAACCCCGCGCCGCTGACTAACAAGCGTTTCCTCCTGTCACTGGCCCTCTCACAGCTGCTGCTGGGAGCCGGACTCTCACCCAAAGAGACACAGGCCGAGGCTGCTTACTCCGGTCACTTCCTGCTTTTCCACGTGGCAGGTCGGGGCAGAGGTGGCATCTGACATTCTGTCGTTGAGGCCAGCCAAGCTGTACTCTCACCCCAGGCCCAGGTATGGGTTGCCTTCTGATTGCTGGGCGTTTGTTTTTCTTTTTTTCTTTTGGAGATGGTCTGGCTATACAGTTCAAGCTGGCCTTGAACTCACTTTGTAACCCAGTCCGTTCTCAAACCCCACCCCCAGAGATCCTCCTGCCTCAGCCTCCCAAGTGCTGAGATCACAGGCCTGCCACCACCACGCCCAGCTGTTTGTTTGGTCTCTGAGACAGGGTCTCACCTGTAGTTCAGGATGGTCTTAAACTCACTATGTAACACAGGCTGGCCTGGAACTCACAGCAATCTTCCTGTCTCAGCCTCTTGAGAGCAGGGATTACAGACTTGTGCCACCGTATCTGGCTTCCTTTACCAGTTTAACCCCTTCTTCCTCCCCCAAGGACCTCCCCTTGCAGCCTCTGTGTGTGTGCGCTGGCCTCTGTATCTTGGATACCCAACGGCCACCCACCCATCAGGAGTTCGCAGGCACCCTGCTTTGGTGTCCCAGGAGCGCTCGCAGATCTACCCATGCTCACAGGTGCTTGCCTGCACTCTTGTCCCGAACAGCTGGTGAGTGCTCGAACATCCCTGTGGGGATGGAGCTGGTCCTGCCTCTACAGATGCACAGACTTCCACTTTCTGGGCTCTGCTGGGGGCGGTGTTTCAGGACACAGGCAGAGTGGGAATGGGGAACCCGAGTGACCAAGGGACCTACATCTCCAGCTTGAAACAGGGCTGGGGCTGGATGTGGCGGCCCACGCTTGCCTCTCATTCCAGCACTAGGAGGCTGAGACAGCAAGATCTTTTTGTGTTTGAGGCTGGTCTAGGCTACTGGATGAGTTCTAGCTCAGTCTGAACTACACAGAAAAATTCTGTCTTAAAAGATGAAAACCAAAGCAAACCAGCATCCAGGCCAAGTTTGTCCCATGGCTGGAGCAGCGTCACAGAGTTGTGCTCCAGTGGCCCCATTTGGACACAAGCAGAGGCCACTTCAGATGAGACCACTCAGGAAGTGACCGTGCAGACAGGGGCGCCTGAGTCCCGGGTCCTGGGAGGTCCTGTACACTTCCTGCAAGGACACAAGGGCCACTCGGTCACCCGGGCCGCAGGCCACGTGGAGCCGGCTGCAGCTCCCCACATAGTCCACTGCCTGGCCTTCATTTGGGCCACTGGGCCGCTCAGGTCACGGAGTGTGCAACTGTGTGGGTGCAGACCCCTTGGCGGGTTCAATTCCAGCTGCTGGGTTCCCCTGAAACCACTGCGGGGCTGCAGCAGGGAGAGTGGCTCTGGGGTCACCTGCAGCCCCTGCCCCACACAATGCTGCCCTGTACCCCGTGTCCTGAAACCAAGTACAAAGAAAAGGTGGGGCAGGACAGCCTTGTGCGCCTTTCCCAGGTGGCAGCAGAGCCCATATTGCCTAGAGGAAGCCACCCCTCCACCCACCCCCCTGCTTGTAGCCCACACACACTTTCAGATTGTGTCGTTTTGAGACAGAGTCACGCTGTGAAGTTAGAGCTGTCTTGGACTATGTAGCACAGGCTGGGGATCCTCTTGCCTCAGCCTCCTAGGAGGGCTATGATCATAGATGTGGGCCACCACGCCCTACTGGGCCCACACATTTGAGCAAAGTATCATCCTTGACTTCAGAGGTGACGTGGGCCAGGCCCAACTGTGTTCAGAGGCAGTCGCTCTGGCAAGAGGTGAATCAGACGTTGGCTGGAATTTCAGCTGCTTGCTTGCTTGGTGAACTGGATCCTGGCAGGATGTGAGCTGACTCTTAGGAATTACCCTGGGGATTGATTAAAGTTGGACCTTCACGCTGACTTGTCACCAGCCCTTTATTAGTAGTATTTTATTTTATTTTTTATTTTAAAATCAGAGTTTCAGTCACTCTGGGTTCCCAATTCAGTCCCAATCTGGGTTCAAGGATTTCAGATCCTTGTGTCTCAGCCCCTTGAGAGCTGGGGATGACACCCACCCACCCACCTCAGGAGTCCTCACCTGAGTTTGAGGGTGATAGAGAAGACTGGATTGCTGAGTGATGCAAAGAAACCGAGATCTCGAGATTTCGGTTCCTTATTAATACGTTTGCTCATTTCTTTTGCCTAAGCTACTTTGAGTTAGGCTTTCTGCATTTGCAAGACAGGAAGTCTTGAACAGCACTCTTGTGGGCAGCTGTGAAGACTATTTCTTTTCCTTCTCGTTTTTTAAAAAGTGTTTGTCTGTTTTTTGAGACAGGATCTCACTGTGCAGTTCAGGCTGCGCTCACACCCCAGCGGTTTCCCCTCCGCCGTCTCCGGTGTGCACCATCCACAGTGGCTTTGGATTTGGTTCTCTGAGACAGCGTCTCGAAATGTGGCCCAGGCTGGCCTTGAGCTTACAGTGGTCCTCCTGCCTCAGCCTCCAGGGTGCTGGGATTGCAGGCCCGTGTCACCACGCCTGGCTCCTTCTCTGCTCTTGTTCTGATTCAGTGTTTTCTTTATCTAATGCTTCTGTTTTATATAATCCTAAAGCATCTGAAAGATATGTGATATCAGAAAAGATGAAAATGATGGTGATGGCAGGAAAGGTGGCAGTGTACTAGCCGTCTTGATTTAAAGTGCTGCTGCCTGGCAAGAATTAGAATCAGAGCAGAAGTGGGCAGTGGGCAAGGGCAGTGTAAGGAAAACCCAGCTTTGTGACCAGGCATAGGGCACACGCCCGTAATCCCAGAACTCGGGAGGCTGAGGCAGGGGATTCTGCAGGCTTGAGGTAGCCTGAACAACAGAGTGAGACCCGGTGTCATCACAAACAAGAAACCCAGCTCTGAACTGTATCTCTGGGGTGACAGGGCCTTCCTCTCAGATAAGTGGCATAGTAAAATGCATACCGTGATCAGCTGAGTTTGGTAGTGTGTGCCTGTAATTCCAGTGGGCTGACTCGAGAGGACGAAGGTTTGTGTCCAGCCTGGGCCACTTAGCAACTTAGTGAGACCCTGTCTCAAAATAATAAAAAACTTTAAAAGGCTGGGGATGTGACTCAGTGCGAGCGCCCAGGTTCAATCCCCCGATGGCAAAATAATAACAGAAGAGACCTCCTCTTTTTTCTCTTTCTTTCTTTCTCTCTGTCTCTCAGTTTCTTTCTTCCTCTCTCTGTTTCTCTTTCTCTCTCTCTATAGAGTCTCCCTATGCAGCCTAGACTAGCTTTGAATTCATGGTAATCCTCCTGCCTCAGCCTCCAGCAACCCAAGATTACAGGTACGCACCTCTATTTCTGGCAGGAGGAAGTTACTTAAATTCCTACAAGAAGCCTCTCTGGGAGGTGACGATTACAGTTGCTATTTGTGCCCTGGTGAGGGGCTCTTTCCTTTTCTTCTGAAGAATGAGAGCCGGGAGCAGTCTGGATGTATAAACGCCTGCAGGTGTAGAGGAAGCAAGCAGTGTCTAACCGAGTCTCCCACCTCACCCCGTCACAGACATCTTCCCATGTCACACAGGGTACGAGTGTGAATTTCGAGTTTCTTCGTCCCTTCTCATGCCTGGAATGAACAGTATGCAAGCCCTGCACCTACACGCAACGTGAGTTCCCTTTTGCTTGTTAGTGACTTTTGAACCATACAGTGTTGAATTTGTTCAGTAACATTTGACTTTCAGAGCTGTGCCCTCATGACTGTAAAGAAGCAACTCAAAGGTCGACCTTCCAGGAGAAAAAGAAAACAGCCTTTTTTACTGAGAGCCTAAAATTTTCTAGTCCTATAAGTAATTTTGCATAAAATGACTTTTCTCGGCTGTTGCAGGTAGGCATGGTGGCGCATGCCTGTCATCCAGTACTCAGGAGGCTGAGGCAGGAGTATCATCATGAGTTCAAGGCCAGCGTGAACTATATAGTGAGACCCCATCTCAAAAAGAAAAAAAAGAAAGAAAGAAAGAAAAAGAAACCCAACTATTGCAATGTGGTGGAATACTGTAAGCCGTAGTAGCAGATAGCATGTCCCCTGAATAAGCCAGGATACAAAGCTGTAAATAGTCTGATCCAAAATATGATAGAAACCTAGATTCAGCGACAGAGAGAAAGGTGTGTGCTGGTGGCTTAAGTCCCTAGGCCTGAGCTGCAGTCACAGTGCATGGTACGGTTTTGGATTTCCTGCTTTTTCATATTTCTCCATTTTCCACAGTCAGCCCGAGTCATTTCTGCAGCTGCAGAAACACAGAAGAGGAGTTATGAAACTCTGAGGCCCAAGTGGGAGTCAGCAGGGCTCGCTCGGGGCTCACGCAGCTTGGGAGGTGTAGGTAGGGTGAGGTAGACCAGCAGCCCTCAGGAAGGTAACAGGTGCCCACCCACAGGGCCCAGGGGCTGTGGCAGCTGAGGACGTTTGCTGGCTGTACGCAGGCTGCCAAGTGCTGTCACACAGCCCCAGGCCTGGTCATCGCGTTCTCAGATGCTGGACATGTTATCCTCCCCCACCCACTCCTTGGGCCATGCAGGATCCATGTTCCAGGTGGCTCTCGGGTGGCCTCCAAGGTAAATATGGGCTCTCTTCGGTGACCTGCTTCTCCAACTTCTGATTTTTTTCTGCTGAACTGCAGGTTTTAATTGCTGGGTTCTTCCTCAATCCCCCAGCCTCTCTCTATTATCCTCTTCCAACCTCAGTACCTGAGTCAACCGTTCTCCAACAGCCGGGCGTGATGGCGGGTGCCTTAATCCCAGCCTTCAGGAGGTTGAAGCAGGAGTTACTACAAGTTCAAGGTTAGCCTGGGCTACAGAGTGAGAGCCTGTCTTGAACACACACAGGCACACAAACACCCATGCAATTGGCCCTGGAGCCCTGGAGACTTGCACCTCTGTGAGCAGGGCACTGCCACAGAAGCCATGGACCACAGGACATGGATTGGGCAACCCTGACTCTGAGCTCTGGGGAAAGGAAATAACTCTGAGCTGCATGGGTGTAAAAGATTTTTGTTTGTTTGGTCGATTGGTTGGTCTCACTATGTAGCTCAGGCTGGCTGCAAACTCATGGGATTCTCCTGCCTCAGCCTCCTAACTTCTGGGATGACAGGCATGTGCCCCGCACCCAGTTTGTTAAATATTTTTCCTGGATGCAGAGGCTTGGGGGCAATGGTGAGGTGCTGGACATGTGCTTCCTTCTGGCTCCGTCTTGTAGCAGGACATCCACACCACCGAATGTGTCCTCTGTGTGGACCTCAGCCTCCCCTGCCCCGCATCCTGGAACCTCTTGTATCTGCAGACGCCCTGCCCTGCCCCCTGCTACCACCAGCACTGCAACGCCCACCGGCCTTCTGTGTGGTCTCCAGCCTTCCCCTCACCAGTGCCCTTCACTGTCAGTGCCAGGCTCCTCAGTGTCTCCCTCTGCACCGGCAGCTCCAGGCCCTCCCTGCTCCCAGCCTCGCAGGCCCCCCCCCACCCCTGGGTCCTCCCCTTGAGCTCCCTTGGGGCCTCCCCTTCCGCCTGGACCCCTCAAACAGTGCATTACCATGGCCTTCAAGTGAGTGGAAAGCTTCCACTGGCTCACACCCTGCCTCTGAGATCATCGACACCTGCCTCCTCTCAGTCAGGGCCTTTTTGTTCTGAGACAGGGTCTCACCGTGTAACCCGGGCTGGTCTTGAACCCACCGTCTAGCCAGGGCCACCTCCGAGGTGAAGGAACTCAAATAGACCCTCCTGCCTCAGCCTCCGAGGCGGTGGTATTATCCCCAGCAAGTCACTGCCTCCAGCTGCATTTCAAAGTCCAGTTTAGGCCCCTGCCCCCTTTGCACCTGTTGTTGGCCACACTTCTCAGGAATTTTATACATAACTGGCTTGAGTAGCCTGTTTCCGGACAGACACCTTTCCGTGTTCAAATTCCGGGCACCCTGTTTCTAGCTGTGCCAGGAGGAAGAGAAACCGGTTCGCCCACTAGAGTAGAGGCGTTCACAGGAAAGCAGTTTAGGACACTGTGTCTGTCCATCTCGGGCAATGCTAGCAGAGGAGCCTGAAATTTGACCTGGCGGCCACAAGTCACACTACCAACACCCCAAATCAGGCCAGACTCCCTCACCTTGAATACCCTCTCTGGCTTGTGTCACACTGCAGTTTGGTTTGGTTTTTTGAGACAAGGTCTTGCTATGTGGTTTACACTGGCCTTTAACTCACTGTGTAGCCCAGGCTGGCCTCGTGCTTGTGGTGATCCTCCTGCCTCAGCCTCCCAAGGGTGGGATTACAGGCATGTGCCACATACCTGGGAATCTTCTTGTTTTGAGACAGGATTTCCCTAAATCACTAAACTTCCCAGGGTGGGCTTAAATTTGTTATCCTCCTGCCTCGGCCTCCCAGAGAGTGGAGATTATAGACAGGACCAGGCTCCTTGCCACATCAGGAGGGGCTGGCGGTTCCTTCAGTAGAGACTGTTCCCTGGTCAGCCCTCTCCACCATGTCGCATCCTTCTGGCCAGGTGGCCAGCTCAAGAGATGAACTTGTCTGTCCCCAAAACAGTGGGAGCAGGCAGTGCCCAGGTGATGCGGGAAGCTGCCCAGCAGCAAGGGTCAGGCCCCGTGAGCACCCCTTCAGCAACCCGGAGCCCCAGCTCCCATGACTCAAGGAGCCTAGCGGACTGGGGAGACCCAGCTCTCTGGAGCTGCTGGCGGCTCCTGCCTGCTCCTGGCCCTGGGAAGCAGCTTTGTCCTGCTGTCGACCAGACCAACATAGACATTGGGCCCGCGCTCCCTGGGGCCAAGCCAGGCACCACCTCACTGTCCTAGGCATGGGTCCAGCCCCAGGCCTTCTGCAGTCCTTCCCCGCTTCCCTCTGGGCCAGGCCTGCCTATTCCACATCCCAGGACACGGCTGTGGTGGGCAGGGATTGCTCTGTGTCCTTAAGATCCTTTCCTGCAAAATAAGGAAGGGACTGTGGCCGGTAACCGCCGCCCTTTTCTACAGCGGCCCGGGTAGGTGCGGGGGCAGGTGCAGTGTGTGGTCAAGGTCTATGAGGGTTTCTGGAACTGGTCCTGGCTCTGCCTCCACAGAGAGGAGCATCAGGCAGGATGGGCGTGGTGCTGCATATGTGCGCTCCCAAGTCTTGGGAGGCTGAGGCAGGAGGTTCACCAGGAGTTTAAGGCCAGCCTGGACTACATGATGGGAGCCTTAAAAAGAAGAAACAAAGAAAAATAACAGAAAAAAAAATAGGCCACATGACAAGGTTATTTCAGACAAACTGTGAAGAATATGAGAGTTGAAGGAGGTGGACGTTGTGACACACACTGTAAACCCAGCCAGCCCTTGTGAGGCTGAGGCTCGAGGATCAGACAAGCAAGCCCAGGAGTCAGAGAGCAGCCTGGGTAACACAGCGAGGACCCAAGAGCCCATCTCAATCAACAAGCAAAGAGCCACTGCAAGGTGAGATGTAGCTCACTGGTACAGCACTTTCCTGGCACACTCAGGGTTCTGGGTTTGAGCCTCGGTGCTAGAAACAATTACAGGCTCTGCTCTCCGGGTATGAAGAAGGAATGAGGTGTGGTTGTGAACAATATTGGTACATTAAACATGTCCTAAAAATGTATCACACAGAGCCAGGCATGCTGGGGTAGAACTGTAATCCCTGCAATCTGAGAGGCTGAGGCAGGAGAATCACAAATTCTGTCCACGACTTACCAGCTTAGTGAGACCCTGTCTCAAAAACATTGAAACTGGCTGGGAGTGGAGCTCAGTGCAAAGGCCCTGGTTTCCGTTCCTGGAACTGGCAAAAAAAAAAAAATGTTTTTTTAACTTTAAGTCCTCTAAGGACTGTGTAATGAACAACTCCTCTGAACACAGCGTCTCTGGCAGGAGACCGGAAGCAGGGAGCTGGCCTTGGGTCAGGTGCCCCTGGTGGCCCAACCTCCCGCTGACATCCTGGCTTTCACATGATCTTGGAACTACGGTGGATCACGGAGGAGGTCAGACTTTGCAAGCGGATTAAAAACTGACCTCAGAGCGGTGGGAGGTGGAGCGGCCAAGGGAGGCTGGGCTGAGCACAGTGACTGTCCATTTGGACAGAGTGCAGGCGCCGGCTCCCCGTGTCCCCACAAGGGACCCGCTGCAAGGGGAGGACAGGTGAGCAGTTGGGAGGTGCTGACAGCCACTCAGTCACGAGGGCCTTAACAAGGCAAAGTGCAGATTCCAGGGCCGGGAAAGAAGCGGGACTTTCCGGACTAGAAGGGCCTGCGGAGCTTACACAGAGGCCTGTGGCCACCGCAGAGGGACAGGTGCCAAGGACAGACTGTGGCTTCCCCCTCCTGGGGGGAAGGGGACTTCCTGCAGGAACGGCCTCCAGCTGGGAGCCACAGCCAGAGCAGACTCTGGACAGGAGGCTTTGGATTCTAAATAACGTCAGGGAGCCACCATTACCATGCGTGGCTCAAACTCCCCAGAAACGACTCCACTCCTGAAGCCGTAGCCTTGGTTCGGAGTTCATGAATTCCAAAAGGGACCAGAGGCCAGCGACCTAGCACCCAAGGCGGTTGACCATGCACAAAAGCTGCTGAGTCCTTAGCCTGCACAAAGCAACAGTGGGTGACTGGAGAGGGGACCACAGTGACAGTGTGAACTAATGGGAATTTTGCCACAGGACAAATCAAAGAAAGTTCAATTTAGTATGCTGGCAGACAAATTTAGAACACACACACACACACACACACACACACACACTCAAGCCTTAGGGGGACTGAAGCAAAAATGTAAGTATAAACCAGGCGTGGAGAACTCTAGGAGGCTGAGGCAGGAGGACTTCTGCTAATTCAAGGCCAGGCTGGGCTACACAGTTCAAGGATAGCCTGAACTACATAGCAAGACTTTATCTCAAAAAACCAAACAAGACTGTGGGTTTTGAGATCAAGGAGAAGAGGAGGAGACTAGGAAGAGGGGTCTTGGGGTAGACAGAAAGTCACCTACTCGTGGAATCTGTCTGAGTTTCCCCACTCAGGGCAACAAAATAAATATCAACAGCTCCATGTGTTCACCGCTGCCATTGGGCACATGGCAGCCACAGAAGAATGTGGGCCATGCTGGGGCCAGCTCTGCTAAGGCCGAGGCTGGGAGTCAGATGGGGTGGCCTTGGCCTTGGGGTGTGGGTCCAGACCTGGACTGGAGGAGCCCAAATCTAAGCAGTGCAGACCCAGAGTGCAGCATGGGTTCTGCCGGCCAGAGGCGAGGTGGAGAAGAGAAAGAGCAAGAGAGAGACCACCGAGACAGAGACAGAGAGACAGAGACAGAGACAGACAGACAGAGAAGGACAGAAAGAGAGAAACGGTACAAAGAGAGGGAGAGAGAGACATCGAGAGACCAAAACAGAGAGAAACAGAGACGGAGAAAGAAACAGAGACACAGAAAGAGACAGACAGACATTGAGGAGAAACAGAGACAGAGAGAGCTGCACACACACAGCACTGTGGACCATGCAGGGGAGCGGGGGTCCTGACTACAGAAAAGCGGGGCTCCATGGCCACAGGTGGGGTACAGGAGCAATCTGGGGAAAGCCGGGTCAGAATGGGTTGGAAAAAGTATGGACATTTGCATAAAAATATACTGCTCCTGAAGATTTGTCATTCCTGGCCGAAAGGTGATCAATAAGTGATAATTGCATCTTACTCCGGAAACAGTGGCATCATCCAGACAGCAAATTAAGAAACGCTGGCCAGCCGTGGTGCCACACACCTGCCACACCATGTAGGCAGCTTGGATGGCATGGTTCAAGGGCAGGTCTGAATTATGTAGTGAGACCCTGTGTCAGAGAGACAGACAGACAGAGACAGAGAGAGAAGGAGAGAGAGAGAGAGAGGGAGACAAAAGGAGGGAGGAAGGGAGGGGTGCTGGCAAGGCTTTGGGGGGAAAGGACCCTTCTACACTGTTGATGGAAGCATAAACTGGTACAACCACTAAGGGAATCAGTGCGGAGATTCCTCAAAAGTAGAAATTTCATTCTGCCCAGCTCTTCAGCTTCCAGGTATCTTCCTGAAAGAGTTAAAGTCATCCTATTACAGTGACTCTATGGATACCGTGCTTACAGCTGTGTCATTCGTAACCCTAAATCTCAGCAGCAGTGAGTGGGTGAAGCCAGTGCAGGCCGTGCAAGGGGGGAGCTGTACCGGCCACCCGTACGGGTCATTGGTAGGAAAGCGGATGCACCCCGAGATCATAACGTTACATGGAATGCATCAGATATGCAGCTTAACTATCCCGCGTTTCTCCAATATGAGGACCCAAATTATAAGAGCAAAACAAAAGGCAAGTAACATGAAACCAGGGGAGAGATCTTTTGTAGCAGCGAAAGGGACTAAGCCGTGAAGGCAGAGAGGAAAACGTGTTACGCACGTGTGCCAGTCTCCCTCGGGGAATATAATATTTTTTTAACAGCAGCAAAGTTTTATTAAAGGTAGGAAAAGAGACAGGCTCCGCAAAGCGAGTTTGGGCCAAGTGCACCCTGCAGCGGAGAGCGGCCCCACGCAGGGGACCACAGTGGCCACGCAGCGCCATCTCCCCGCGCTGCGCCTGCACCGGCAAGAGGACAGTTTCCAACACAGCAAGCCCTTCCGGCCGCTCTGCTCTGCTCTTTTCGGGCAGCTGGCTTGGTAACTGCAGCTGACCTTCTTTCATGGTTCCTAGCAACTCGGGCTGTTTGGATTGACGGAAAGAACCGAATCCTGGACTCCAGAGTTGAGTTAAAAGTTATCCACCCGGGGCTGGAGAATGCCGGCACAGGCCTGGAGACCATTCGGATGCAGATGCATTTGTGTGCTGGTGCGCCCCGAGGCTGGGCTCCATCAGCTCGGCCAGGACTGCACTCTGGCACATATTGCATTCTTGAACTCAGACAGCAGCCTGCCCAGGCCTGCGGGCCTGGGGTTTTCGTGAACATGGTGAGTTACTGGTGTGAGGGTCCATCCACTGGGAAAGCCTCAGTTTATGGCACCTTCTGTTTCCCAGGGAGCCCAACCTACTTCATATCAATTACCTCATCTATCTGCAAAACTCCTGTCTGAGATTTGGAATTATTGTTTTTCTTTCTTGACAATGGGTCTGTGGGCAGGTGACAGATGTGCTGATGTTAATGATGCCCAGGGCCAGCAGCGCAGTGGGGACAGGCAGGTCTGGGCTTCACCCCTGTGAGGAGCCCTGCAGCAGGGAGAGGAGCTGGAGGGGTTGGTCCAAGGGACCATCCTTCTGCATGCCCCTTGACACCCCCATCAGGGGCCTGGGGTGGTCTGTTCCTCGTACTGAGTCTGTATCTGGGGTAACACCATGGACCGGACCCCACATGTACCCCGTGCTCCTTTCACGAGGCTCAAGGCTCCATCCAGGAGCCTTGAGCCTGCTAGGCAAGCACACTACCTTGGGCTCCCCAGCTGGATGCCAGGACTCCCCTGGGAAAGAGCACCTCATCTTTCTCAAGGGGCACAAGCAGCTGGGGAGGACCACGCACATGGGAAGAACCCCCGTGGCCCCATGACACAAACCCAACATGAAGATTCAGGTTTCCAGGCTCCAGATGGGGCCTCAGCCCCCCCCCCCCCAGCTTTCTGGGTGCTTCTGCACTGTCTTGCGCTGCACACAGCCGGAGACCAGCTATCCTTGCTGGAGGGACAGGAGTTCTTGCTCTTTGTCATGCAACAGACCTAGTCAGATACTCCTGGGGCTGACCCTCAGTGGCTGTGGCTGAGGAGCCCAAGTGCGGTACAAACCATTCCCAAATTTATTTGTTTACAAAATATTTATTTACTTATTTGTGTATGTTGCAGCACTGGGGATTGAAACCAGGGCCTTCTCCCTAAGCCACATCGCTGGCCCTTTATTATCTTTTGAGACACGGTCTGTCTCTCAAAGACTCTAAATTGCCACAATCTGGACTCAAATGTGTGATGCTCCTGCCTCAGCCTCCTAGAGGACTGGATTGCAGGCCTGCACACCACGCCCAGGGCCTGTGCAGTGCGGTGGGTTTGAAAGCTCGCTGGAGGGCAGGGGCAGTCACAGCAGGGGTGTCGTGGGTGTCAGCCCCTCCTTGCCTTTGCTGTCTCCCCATCAGTTCTGCGCTCTTCCGTGCCACCTCCGCTCAGTTATTCTGTGCACCTCTCTTGGAACCCGGGCAAGGGTTGAAGGGGACGCAGGGTTACAGTCTGGAGGGAAAGAGAAGAAAAGTGACTACACCTTGCCGTGCAGTCGCCTAAGAGAGGAAGCTGAGGGGAGGGGAGCTCCTGAGCAGGCAAAGCCTTTTCTTGAGCCAGGCAAGGCGACCCACACCTGTAATTACAGACTCAGGAGGCTGAAGCAGGAGGATCACTGTGAGTTTGAGGGCACCCTGGGCTACATAGTGAGTTCAAGGCCAGCCTGGACCACGGAGAGATCAAGGTCTACCAGGTGGTCAAGGCAGTAACAAGAAATCCACTTCCTGCTTTGGGCAAGCCTTCCGGGCTAAGGCAGAGGTAGGACATGATCAGGGGCCCCGGGACACTCGAGACTGACCTGATGTGCCAACGAGTGCAAGTGGTGGCCACTAGGATTCTATACACACACCTTTCTGGTCCTTTGGCTAGTGTGGACTGGACTCGCAGGGGAACTATTTTAGAGTCATGCCCATCAGTAGGGAATGGGGGTAGCCCCAGAGCATGCTGACCTGCTGGCCAGGGAATTCAACCCATGCCCAGAAACAGCCAGGTGTAGGGTATTACTACTGTACCCTTGGCAAAGAAGAAACCAAGTCCGAGGGCTCACATCACTCTCCAAGTCACCAGCTAGGGGTGAGGATGCCGAGACTGGGTCCTGCTGTCGGCTACACAGAGCACAGCTAGGCCTCGTGCAGCCTGAAGCTCAGCACCTTCAGGGGCCGCTGACCTGCATGCTTGGAAAATAGGTTTTAAAATGACCTGTGCAGCCAGGCGTGTGGTGCACACCTGTAATCTCAGCATCTGGCCTCAGCCTGGCCTCAAACTCACAGTGATCCTCCTGCCTCAGCCTCCCAAGTGCTGGGACTGCAGGTGTGAGCCACCACACCCAGCCCAGACAGTTTAAACCCATGAGGGTTTTTACCTATTGATTTGCTAAAAAGGAGCTGAGAGCCCTGCCTTCTCAGAGCAGTGGTTTCAGCAGGAAATATAGTCACTTAACAGGTGACCATGGGACCAGGTAGGTGCCAAAGTTGTTTGTCCCCCTCCCACTCCCCTCTCAAGCAGAAAACTCACAATTCTAAGTTGCAAAATCCTGAAGGCCCAGAAGTGTTTGATCTTGGCTGAGAACAAATTTGAAGCCACCCCATGGAGTAGCAAACCATAAAACAATTAGCAACAACCTTGGAATGAACTGATTCCAGGGAGTAAAAAACGTGCTGGACAGGAGGCAGCAGTTATGGCCAGAAGGAGGGGAGGATGCCCGGAGCTGTCTGAAAGCTTGCACGGAACGGTGTCCTGGTAACCCACACACAGGAGAGGCACGGTTGGAGCCGGGTTCTCAGGAAGCAGCCCAGGAACTGGACCTCAGACCCAGAGGCTGCATCAGGGCAGCTGGGGTCCACACTTCGGGCCTCTCTGCAGGGGCAGAGTAGGGGTGAAGGCAGCAGGTTTAGAAGCCACAGCACCACCAGGGTTGTCTGGACCTTGGGCTGAAGCTACGCAGCCGCCTGAGGCTGCAGTTCTGCCTCAGTTTCCCCACCTGCCGCAGTTTCCCAGGGCAGCATTGGGACTCTCGGGACCCAAGGGAGCTGTGTGTGGGCATCTGGCCAGTGCTTTGGTTCATACCTCGAACCGAGAAGGACTCTTTCCTTTGGATTGCCCAAGACCAAACACTTGAGTGGAACCTGAAGAGAAGCTGAGACGTTGGAGGGGACTTGAGGTGTTCTGGCTCCAATCTGTCATAAGGTCCACTCTGAGTGACAAAGCAAATACATCTGTGTTTTGCAATATATGAGCCACAGACTTTCTTCAGACTTCAGTCTTTAAGAAAAGGTGTTGGAGATAAGTTCATCAGTTTCTATTTACTGTAACTCAATAATATAAAGTTTAACTAGCGAGTAATCCAAGTGGCTTTGGGAATGAACACTCGGAAGCCCTCACAGAGGGAAGAGTTCAGTTCTGGACAGGTGCTTCCGCGTGCGGAAGGCTCGTGCCCCCTCCAAGGTCACTTAAGGGCAGTTTGCAAGCCACTCATGAAAATCGACCTGACTCGAGGCGTGGGTGTTCTCTGGGAGCCCCCAGATTTGACCACAAATGGTGTGTCTGTTTCTAAACATAAACCTACCTTTAAAAGATTCAGATTTGCCATCAGCAAAGGTGTAACAAAACAAAAACCACACTGCTATACAGGCCGAAAAGAGGCTTCTCAAGAATTGTTGCTGGGGGGGCTGAGGATTTAGCTCAGCGGCATAAGCGCCTGCCTTGCAAGCAGGCAGTCGTGAGTTCGATCCCGGGTACCGATGAAAAGGAAAAAGACAAAAAAAAAAAAAAAAAAAAAACAAAGAAAAAGAACAGTTGCTAAGTGTAAACAGCTAGAAGCACTTTCCTGTGTGAAAGGGAGGCTTTCCCAGGAGATACCTTAAAGACAGCCCAAAGGCCTTATCTGCATGTGAGTGTGTTCGGTAAGTGCCTGCATATGTGTGTGTGCAAGGGTGTGGTCCTGGGGACTCGAATCCATGTGCACTGTAACGCTGAACTACATTACCAGCCCTTTTGGGTGTTTCTTTTCTGAGACAAGATCTCACGAAACTGCAGTCCTCCTGCCTCAGCCTCCTGAACAGCTGAGATTACAGGTGTGCCCCACTTCCCTGGGCTGAACACTCACCTCACCTTCGCACACCGAATGACAGGGCAGCAGAGCTAGGAGAGGCCGTGGAGACAGGGCAGGGAAGGAGGGACGGAGTCCTAAGAGGGGACGTCCTCTCCTTAGCCTGCACGGCGCGTCCTCCCTGCTGCTCCCCCTTGGCCTCACCCATCACGCGATTCCACTCACACCCCACACGTGTGGTCCTGACATCCATACAAGGAGCTCGCAGAGTACACTGATTTACAGGCTTTTGTTGGCTTTCCTGTCTCTGCAGGCTGATCAAACGCTCAGGGATGTGGACTCAATGCAGAGTTTCCTTGTTTCCTTTCCCCAAGAAATACACTGGCTCCCAGCCCCCCGGCCTCCCCCCGGGCCTCCGTGCAGCTCTCGGTGGGAACTGCAAAGACCAGGTTATTAAGCCCCCACAATCCCTTAAACATACCCCACCATGAGGATCGATCTGGCCAGATATGGACCTATTATCAAAGCCTGCAAAGGACTCCGCCTAGTAGATAATCATTACAATCCAGTCTCTGCCAAGTCACAGAGCAGAGAGGGAACCGGGCTCGGCTGCTGCCAGGAGAAACTGGATGCAGGAGGAATTCGCAGAGAACCTTAGAAAGGGTGGAAGTGATCAAAGGCAAAAGTGCCCCTACTGTGCCAGCAAACTGGGCATTCCAGGCTATTGTGGGTCACAGGGGGCTCCAGGTGGTACCAGGCAGCTTCTGCCTATGGTGTCAGAGCTCCGAAGTGTCCCTCAGGTGAGGCTCTAGGCTTCTGCGAAGTTGCCTAGATGAGATGGTCCCATGCTTGGCAAAATCTTTATCTCTGCACACCTTTTTTTTAACCCCCCCCCCCTTTTAAGGCAATCTCTCGCTATGTAATTTAGGTTGGCCTCAAACTCATGGCTTCTCCTGCCTTGGCCTCCCAAGTCCTGGGATTATAGGTATGTGCCCCCTCTTTGATGTTTTTTTAAATCAGAACTCAAAAGCTGTTTGGTGGCACACACCTGTAATCCCAGCACTTGGGAGGCTGAGGCAGGAGAATCTCTCTGAGTCTGAGGCCAGCCTGGGCTACATAGCAAGATTACGTGTCAAAAACAAACCAGTAACAAAACTTTAACAATAAAATCAAAACTCAAACCCCGCTTTCTTTATGGACTTTCTGATTAGCTGGGGTGGGGGTACCGACTTCTTACCCAGTTCTAACTCAGGAACTTCCTTCTTTCCCCAATCAGTTCTATACCAGGATGGGATTGATCAGGAAGGGAAATGGCCTCCTCTTACATCTCCCCGATTCCTGCCATAAGCAGGACTTCAGATCCACGGAGAACGGGATTCAGAAAAGCCGTCTACGGCTTTTCCCTCCAGTTCTGGGGCTCAAACCTAAGGCTGCACTGTCTAGGGCTGGTCCCAGCCCTGGATAATGTTGAGTCTTAGGGAGACCCTGTCTCAGAATATAAACATAAGAAGGCCCTGGGCTACAGTTCAGTGAAAAGGCCCTGGGTTCAAGGCCTAGAACTGGAAATAAAGAAAAGGTGGCAGCTGTGATGGTACCACCCATATCCAGTCCCCCCCTGACTGAGAACCTCGTGAGGTTATCTACTCAGAGCAAGAATCCTATGGGACAAACGTTCGCCCAGACTGCAGATGGAAAGGGTGATTTCTCCCTCGGGAGGCTGAGAAACTTGCCGGAGGAGAGTGGGTTGTTTCCTGAAAAACCTCACTGTGCGGTTCAGGGAGGGCACGTGGCCACAGCCTGCCACTCTGGTCCTGCTTTGCTCTCTTCCTGGCGAGGAGAGCTGGGGTGGGGCAGGGGCCTTCATGTGGCCCAAGCAGAGGCCGAACAAGTCAGCAACATGAGGACGGGCACGTTCCATACCAGGCCTCTCCTGCTTTATAAACCACTCTGCCTGGATTTGTTTGTCAGAGCAAGAAGCCCTGTCCTTGGTGTCCCTGAGGGGTGAGGCTGAGGGTACACTGTGGCCCCAGGGAACCCCCGTTTCTTCGCCTTGATCTTGAGCTCCAGATGAGCAGTGACCTGTCGATGTCGCTCCCGGCCGGCAGGAAGGACACACGACAAAGTCTGGCAGTGGACAACCTTTTCTTTTATTTTCTCTCCGTACATCCTGCCCTGGGATCGCTCCCAGCCGAAGCCTCCTCTGGTCCGCTCCCCGCGGCTCCTTCCGTGCTTCGCTCCGAAGCCTCTACCGGTCCGCTCTCCGCGGCTCCTTCCGGGCTTCTACTTCCCCCCAGGGGTGGCACCAGTATATATACGGATACAGTGTCCAATCATATTAAAGTAAGCAAGGCAAGCTGATTGGCTAACATATTATTGAGCGGGTTGTTTACGCGGTAAGCAGGAAACTAACGTGCTCGATGGGAGGGGTAATCTAACTCAGGCTTTGCTCTTTACCACAGGCCGCATGATCGCTATATGCGGCGGCTCGGCAATGTGGTGGCTCCCAACATCTCCCCCTTTTTTATTTTAAATAAGTCTACGCATCGCAGCCCGTCCTGAATTGAGTGTAGAGGCCTGTGCCCTGATAGGAGGCCCACCAAGGGCTCTCGGCGTCGGCCCGGGTCGGCCGTCCCCGAGTCTGCCGAGGCCCCGAGGCCCTCGTCCTTTTTCCAGGGCCAGGAAGGAACCGGACGGAACCTGGATGCACACAGGCATACACTCATGTCGCTCCGCATGATCCCCCCGGGGCGACATTTGGTTCGGGCGGAACCTAGTAATTCAGCGGCTTTCGTGCGGTATGGGGTAGGGCCTGTCTTAGGTTGAGTCATGCTGGGGAGGCATGCTCTTACCCGTCATTGACTCATCTACCCTGCTATATCATAATTTTTGAGAGGAGGAGTGTGGGAAGCTCACCGTCCCTAGACTCGGTCGTAGGCTAGGCGAGCGAGCCATGCATATGCCTGAGGATCTTCTTGTCCATTTCGGACTACCGCTATTTCTATTCATCTTGTTGGTTGGTCTGTGATGGATCTCCGGTAGGGCAGGTCTGATCTTCAGTCGAGGGCTTTGTTGCCCGTGTCAGTCTCTCCGGTACCCACAGTGGTTCTCGTCCCGATTCCTGTGGGAAGACACAAACCGCACCTCGGTTCCAGCTGACCACTGGATCCGGGCCCATCCATTGTCCTGTCAGGACATCTTTCCACTTCACCCACCCTTTATGGTTGGGGGAAGGGTTGCAGTGCTCCACAGCTGGGGAGCAATTATCATTATTTAAATTTAAAAAATTGTGTGTGAATAGTGCCATGGATAATCGTGCCTTTGGGGCCAGGCCTTGGCCTACTCCCCCTTTTTGTTTAGCTAGAATTGCTTTGAGACTTCTATGGGCTCTTTCGATGATTCCTTGACCTTGGGGATTGTATGGGATACCATGTTTTAATTGAACCTCCATCATTTTGCAGAACTCATTGAAGGCTTTGCCTATATAGGCTGGTCCATTATCAGTCTTTAATATTTTTGGTTTGCCCCATGCGGCCCAAGCCGCCAGGCAATGATTGATCACATTAGACACTTTTTCACCTGTTTCTGCTGTTGCAAATATGACGTGAGAACAGGTGTCTGTGGAAACATGAACATATTTAAGAGTCCCAAACTCCTGTATATGTGTGATGTCCATCTGCCAAACATCACCAGGGATCAAACCTCGAGGGTTTACTCCCATCGGTATGGCAGGTTTGTATGTGGCACAGGAGCCACATAGTCGCACGATATCTCATGCATCTGCTCTGGAAACATGGAAATGGTTTGCTAGTGTCCTGGCATTGACATGAAACTTATTATGGAAGGCACGGGCTCGCTCGATTGGTGTTAATAAGGTAAAAGTCCATAACGGGCGAGTGGCAGTGTCAGCAGCCGCATTCCCCTGTGCCATAGGCCCTGGCAGGGATGTATGTGCTCTTATGTGGGTGGTGAAGACCTTATGGTGTCTGTTCTGGAGCAATGTCTGGATAGACAGGAACAGCCCAGCCACTGTGGAAGTGGATCTAATTAAACCGGCAGTCTCAAGCACTTGCATAGCATTGACCACATACCTAGAATTGGAGACAATGTTAATGGCTCCTGAGAACCGTTCAAGAATCATTTTAACGATCTGCAGTTCCACCACCTGAGGCTGATCAGGTTCAAATTGTATGGTAACCGGGGGCTTGCCTAGGATCACATAGGCGCCTATCCCCGTCTTGGAGCCATCTGTATATATTGTAGTTGCTGGGACTAATGGCTCAGAGGCAGTAACCTTTGGAAAAATTACAGGGTGCTGAGTAACAAATGACAAGATAGGGTCTTTAGGGTATTGATTGTTTATATCCCCATGGAAAACACATCTCAAAATGGCCCAAGTATCTATGCAGGCAGCCAGGGTCTTGATCTGGCTGGCGGTATAGGGTACTCGGATGGCTTGTGGTCCTGAGCCAAAATGTTGGACAGCTCTATCATGCGCTTCAAGGGCCAATGAAGCGACTGCCTCCGGGTAATGCTCTATGACTTTTGCAGGTGAGACCTTAGGGTGTATCCACAGTAGTGGTCCTTTCTGCCAAATCACCGCTGTGGGCTGTA